ATGATTTTTTTTTCCTGATTTTCTTCATGAAGCATGTCTTTTGCATTTAATTCATGCTTGGCCCCTTTTAGACGTGGTGGGGCAAAGTCAGAGAAACCAGAAATAGGGAAAAGGTTGAAGTGAAATCTCGAAAGGGATAGGGAACTATTAAAGCTTAGCCATTACATGCACTGTATAATTTCAGAGTACCCAGTTCCTCCCTTTTCTAGGGCACCGAAGCCTAGAGGAATACAGTGCATCACTTTCATTCCCCGAGTCAGGTTGGTGGCACACCCAAATGTTGCAACCCAATTATTCCAAGCCCAGAGCCATTCTCCACCATGTCTTATAAGGTGCATTCTCCCTACATTGCCCCATGTGCCTCCTGGACCCCTGCCACGGCTCACGCAAATACTCACTTTTATAAATGATTTACTTTTGGAAGTTGCATTGTTGTCAAAATTCACCATGAAAAGCATGTTGTCATTTTGAGTTTTCCTTTTTAGGTTTACTCATCATATGTACTTAAAGCAGAATTTAATACACACACACACACACACACACACACACGAACACACACATGAGCATACACACCTATTCCGCTCTGCCTCTGCCTGCACTCCTCCCATCAGAAAGGGAAATTAATGGTTATATTAAATCAGCTTGAGTTTGGTAGATTAAACTTTGAATGACCTTGCCACACCGTGAAGGGGAAGCTACCAGAGAGGTCGATGTGATGCTGTGAGTCTGAGACAATGAAGCATGCTATGTGGATTTCGTTAGAAATGAGATTAAAGCTTTCTTTTAAGCATCCTTTTCCCACTTGCTGGACATAGCCAACGTGATTACATGAGACACAAGTCAGGGCACAGGGAGATGGAAGCAAATATTCTCAATATTTCAACAGTGACAATTTCTATTGATGATGAGGTTATGGACGAGGGTTATTTTAATTAAGAACTATTTTTTCTAGCAATTAGACTTTCTATACTGGTAGCTAGATATCAGATAGATAGGTCTGTGCATAGATAGGTCTGCGTACAGTAAAGGGCCACTTGAAAGGATGTGGTATTAAAGGAAAGACTGTATGTGGATTTTCAGAGCATCACAGAAATTTAGAACTGAAAGAACAGGAAAATGCCAGGTAATTTGTTACCTGGTTTTTTTTTCCGTATTTACTCATTCTTCATACCCTTTACACATTCAATGATTATTTCTCTTTTTTCAGCTATTTTGCATGTTAACTTAGTTGCCAAACTTTGACTTTGAGGAGAGCAATATTGCTATGTCTCCAAAACATTATATTTGAGACCTGCATTTTAGATGGTTACATTCTAAAATATGTGTGGTCATGTATTTTTCATGTAAAATATCTCTCACTTTCCTGTGTCCAGGGCCCTGGAGGATTCAGATAAAATCTTCTCTACTATCACCAACCTTCATTCTTTCTGGTGGATAGATTTTATATTTTGTTTTTCTAAACGAGGGAAAACAGTTATAGTTCCACCTCTTACGTGCTTCTCTTCATTGAGTTGTAAGCTCAGTATGTGCACATATGTAAGATTTCAAGTGCAGAAGAGAACAGAGTAGGAAACAGATTTTCACAGTTCCCGTCTGGGTCCTTGTGTAAGTGCCAACATAAAGCTATTCACTGATCGGTAAAAAACAGTATACTGTTGCCTGGCTCTAAGGAAACGGATTTGAAAATCTAAACTTAATAAGCAGATCAATTGGGTGGGGGTTTAAGATTATTGTATCACATTCCAATGACATGCAGTGTTGTCAAAAACTTTTTTCTCCAGAATTAAAATTGTAGGCAGCATAGAGATACCTTTCAAAATGTCAGGAAGGAGGGCTAGGGAAATTTAGTTAAGAATAATGAAAATATATGACTTATATCCCAGGAAACATACAGTGCAAGATCTGGGTATCTCAGGGTAAAGGGTAAATTTAGTGCGGGTAGAGGAGGAGGAGGTTTAACTTGCATCCGAGGAGGTAAGTGGATTAAGCAGAATGTCTGGAAAGAAGAGGATTGCTGGGTAGTGGTGTGAGCCCCAGGGCTCAGGGGAAGTTACATCACTTGCTCCTGAATTTTTAGGAGTTAATAATAGCTGTGCCTCTGTTTCCCTGCAAAGAAAGGGGCAATTGTGGAACAAGTCCTGAGGGAATCATTCAGAACTATTTCTGCTTCCTTCCCACTTATTCAACATAAATATAAGGCCTAGTTTGGGGTTAAATTCAGATTTTGCACATTTCTGCCCCCCTCAATTTCTTGCCACCAACTTACTGATGTCTGAGATTTCTTTAACAAGAGGGAAAGCATTCCATTCCATAGTTAGAGATAAGACTTCCAATACCTGTTTATTTAGTGCATTGAATGGAATTTGGCTAAACTCAACACTTACTAGATACCTATTTTGTGCCAATATTAATGAGGGAAAATAAAAAAGATGAACAAATGAAGCTTCCAGCTTCCTTGAGGCACAAGAATCACACTGTAATTACAGTGGGATGTAAGTTCCGTGACGGTAGAGATCATCCTGTGTCCTTCTCATTGTTATGTTCCCGCATTTGTCCCAGTGCCTGACTCAACAAAGGTTTTTATTTTTGTGAATAGAATGGGTGCATGGATGACTATAGTATCAGAAAGACTATAAAATAGATATGTACAAGATATAATGTTGAACAATTTTGCCTGGGAAGGATGCAGATAAGGGAGACTTCTTGGGGAGCTATGTGAACAAGATCATGAGAGATCAACAGAGGTTTTCTGGAACTTCCAGAATAGTATCCAGCCAGAAGTATAAGTGTGGACAAAGGCATGAAGGTGGGAAATGACACAGATGTTCAAGGAGCTGCAAATAACTTCCCAATCCTAGAAGGCAGGACTAATGGGAGTATAAGAATTGTGGCAACAAGGACCGTATCACGAATCCTTTGTAAGTAAGTGGCATCCCTGATTTGAGTCAAAGCAGGTGCTGCTGGGTACTGGAGGTAGATGTGGCAAAACAAAGACCAATTGAACTTATTTCTGACTCACATTTTTAGCTGAGGTTGGCCTTGTTTACCTTTAATAGTATTGGGATTTAGAAGCTAATTACAGAGACATTGGTTTAGTATGGAAGCAACAGCTTGATGAACTATACCTATACTGCTCCAATGAGATTTTATATTTTAAAAGGGAAATTTTGTATTTCCAAAGTCACCTTAGAATCAGACGATTGTGTAAGAGGTATACCACTTTCCAAAGGAATGTATCATTTAATAAATGAAATTTCTGCTGGTTCCTGTGAACAGTGACTTCATTTAGAATTTAAAATAGTTCAATTACACAGATTTGTCCTGTCTGTAAATCAAGGTATAATCGAATGGGTGAGAGTTTCTTAACACCTTCGGTGAGGATGAATATGACTTGGATTTTTTGTATTACCAAGTACTTACCTCTATTGGGTAGGGTATTTCCTTGTTATATACATAAATCTACTAGACAGATTGTGTGGTAGGGGTGCTGTGTTATCTCCTTAGTTTAAGGAGAAGGTCTACAATGGAATTTTTATTTAGTTTCTTTGGACTATTTTAACTTTGTGACCCATATTCCAGTTTTAAATAAGGAGCCCTACATTAATAAAAATTGGTTTCTTAAACTTAACTTTAAATATGCTTATTGATTATTTTAAGCAACTAAAGGGCCATGCTGAGTTGAAACTGATAGAATTTCTTCACTTTCTTCCCACTTATACCTCAACTACTCCTGTTGTTATTTTCTTTCTTCTACTACTTTCATTCTGTTAATTTATGGATAAAATAGCTCCTTATTTTGCACACTAAGGTTTAATGTATGTTCTGCACTTGATAGAGCGTTTAATTTGGGGGGAAAGGTTCTTAGCCGATTGTATTAGTTCAGTGGTTTTAGAATAAGATGTTTGTGGGGAGGGGCAGCAGAATCTTCAGTCATTGATTCTCTCTTTATAACTTTGCCCTTTTAGCTGGAACAGATTACTTGTGTAGTGCTGCTTGCCCTGCACAGACTGAATCACAAGGAAGAAACTTTACATAAACCATTTATACTAAATGTTTGGTATGCTGGCAACATAAATCAACAACAATATCCATTACAAATTCATCCCTTTATCAGTATTATCTCGATAGAACTGATCCCAATGTGTGGGAATTTGAACCCTGCTTCAATACATCTAGCCCTGGATAATTAATTATTCAGGGCACAGAGAACCTGGCCCCTGCAATGCAGAGTAATTCTTCCTGGTCAGCGTTAACTCCACTGGCAATAATAAATAGAAAAAGTCTCTAGTGATGCCAGTATTTTAAAGTGATTAATCATCTTTCCCCCCTTCTCCTCCCCCTTAGTTTTCTTTAACTAGGATTTTTCAGCAATAAATCTTTAACAATACAGGTAGGAATTGTTCTGTAATTAAATTTTGCCCTGCTTAATTTCTTACCTTTTATGTGTGATTAAAAAAAATGCTACATTTTAAGGAGCCCTGGTCAAAATTCAAACCAAGAAAAATCCTTTTACAGAATAGCAAGAGATGCTCTATAGAAGATTAAGCTCTTGATTTTGAATATTAGATAGAGCACATACTCTTAAAAATTGTTCATCAACACCAGTTGGGGTGTCAAATATTCTGAAGTTTTGAATCGCTTCACTTTCATGCTTACAATTTGTCTGTATTAGGAGAAGTCTGACATATACATATGTTCCAACACTGAGAGAATAATTACTTATTTCTTAACTTTCAGATAATTGATGTCAGCTCTGTAGGAAAGGGATATTTTTCACCATTTTTGTGGTACACAGAATGCACTCGCTGAAGTGGCAGGTAGATGCCTGACTGAGAATGACCACGTATTTTTAAACTGCGCCCTGTCGAGCTGCCCAGCCATCATGTATATCCTGGGTGACAGGGACAGATGTGACATATCTGTTGTGACACACTTCTGTACCACCAGTCCATGGCTTGAGGTGACTCCTGTTCCTCCCCTGATGCTTCCCCCTGCTGCAGGACAGCACAACGATGCACGGATGAACCTTGCCATCGCTCTGACTGCTGCCAGGTATGGGGCTGCCACCGCCAATTACATGGAGGTGGTGAGCTTGCTCAAGAAGACGGACCCTCAGACAGGGAAAGTGCGCGTGAGCGGCGCGCGCTGCAAGGATGTCCTCACAGGTATGCCAAGTCTCTGGGAGGGAGGTATTTCTTAGCATCTTGCCTGGCTTATATAATGACTGAGTTATAATTTTTCTGTCACTTTTCTTTCATTTAAGCCACATCTCAGAGTCATATTAATTATATTCCTTATTGTCAACAATGACTGGTTTAACATGAAAATTTCCCTCGTGGGACTCGGCAATTTTTCCCCTTTGTATTATAATTGTAATAATGATAATGATAATAATAAATGCCCACAAAATTCCCACAGCTATGAATGCATTCCGTTTTCTTTACAAAAACATGTTATTAATAAAATTAAATAAATGTGCCAAGTCTCAAAGTATCATTTAGGTGACACAGCCAGTGCATTTACACGTCATTAAAGTCAATCACCTTTAACTTCGGTTACATTTGCATTCTTGCCCTGATTGTAGGGCCATGTAGGCAGCTTCGAAATTACATCATTTCTCGAACAAAAGCACTGTGAAATGTTATCTCATAGCAACACTGTTTACACACTGAAGTTTTAAGAAGAAAGCAGATTATTTACTCATTCCACTTTCTTCACGTTCGGTGCCTTGAGGTACCTTATAAAATGGACTGAGAACCACAATAAACAAGTGGAATGCTTTTCTTTCTTCGATTCAGACTTGTTTTTGGTAAATTTACTCAGATCCGAGCCTTTTGTTTGGCTCTTCAATAACTCTGGCTGCTCATGTCACTTAGTGTGGTATGCAGTATACTTCACCATAGGTTAAGTTAATAGATGAATTAATAATCCACAGCATCCGTGAACAGAGAAACAAATGGGATGTGTGATTGATGCTGCCTTCTTTCACAGGGCAGGAATTTGATGTGAGAGCCAAATGTGTTATCAATGCTACGGGACCTTTCACAGACTCTGTGCGCAAAATGGATGATAAGGACGCTGCAGCTATCTGCCAGCCCAGCGCTGGCGTCCATATTGTGATGCCCGGTTATTACAGGTAAACCTTCTTCCTCCACGGTGGTCATCGCCCAAGAAAGGGGGTCACAAGAGATCGTCTATGTTTAATTTCTTCTTCTAGCATACCTTTCTTAATAATAGACGGGTCTACCTTGCTGTTCAAAATGAGGAGAAATAAATAAAGGAACTCTTTCAAAACACAAAATTTCTTAGAAATCTGGGAATTTCTTAGCCACTTATGACAATACTTATTTCTAAGGGTTAATGATTTGGGATCTGCCTCTTTATCTACTCTGTTCAGTTTAGTCACCTTCAGAGTATAAGAATTAGTATTTTTGAATTATATTAGGTCATTAAATATGCAATGTCCGATTTTGAATCAAAAGCGTAGTTTATTATATCTCAAACACGAAGCACTACAGTTAATCAAAGTATGTGCCTAAACTATCAACACAGTTTTGCCATCTTAATGGTAGCTTGCTTATGCCAGCAGTGAAGAAGCCTGGAGAGTGAGTGGCGATGAAATTGTGAAAGGTTTTCCACAGCTTCTTGAGCATTGAATATTTTTCCTTGCAAGAAGTGGTCCAAAGCCTGGAAGAAGTGGTAGTCAGTTGGTGCAAGGTCTGGTGAGTACGGTGGATGACAGAGAGTTTCCAAGTCCAGCTTCTGTAGGTGGAACAAGGTTGTATTTTTGTGACATGTGGTCTTGCAAGAGGATTGACCTGTCTCTACTGACCCATATTGGCTGCTTAATTGCAAGCATCCTCATCATTTCATCCACTGCAACCGATTGACTAGGTTTCATGAAGCTCTAGTGGATAATACCAGCGCTGGACCACCAAACAGACACCATTAGCTTTTTTTGATGAATATTTGGTTTTGGACTATGTTCCGGCACTTCATCTTTATCCAGCCATGGTGCCTAACTCTTGTGATTGTCAAAAAGAATCCATTTTTCATCACACATAACAATACAGTGTAGAAATGGTTCGCCTTTATGTTGTGACAGCAAAGAAAGGCAAGCTTCTAGATGATTTCTCTTCTGATGCTCATTTAATTCATGCGGCACCCATCTATCCAGCTTCTTTACCTTGTCCGTTTGTTTCAAATGGTCCAATATTGTTGGAATAGTAACGTCAAACCTTGCTGCTAATTCACGCGTAGGTTGAGATGGATTTACTTCCACTACAGCTTTCAGTTCATCATTATCCACCTTGGTCTCAGGTCACCCACGTGGCTCATTTTCAAGATTAAAATCACCTGAACAGAACTTCTTAAGCCATCGATGTACTGTGCGTTCATTAGCCACAACTTTCCCAAACACTTCATTGATATTTCAAGCTGTCTGTGCTGCGTTGGTTCCGCAACAGAACTCATTTGAAAATAACACAAATTTTTTATTTATACATAATTTCACAAAAATTGCTCTAAAAAACATTTGAAAGATAATCACAAGCCAAAATGTGTCTTTGAAAGAATGAGAATATACCTTCACAATAAAAAAAAAAAAAGACCCAAAAAACAAGAAGTGTCAAAGTGAAATGTCAGAGAGATCAACTGTCAAACTTAAGGTACTTAAGGAAATTGGATATTTCATATTTAATAACTGAATACTTTTAATTAAGGCCTTAAAAAATTAATTTTAGCCAGGTGTAGTGCCTCATACCTGTAATCCTAGCACTTTGGCCAGGAGTTTGAGACCAGCCTGGGCAGCATAGTGAGACCCATCTCTGGAAATATTATAATAAGAAAAATTAGTTGGGCCTGGTGCTGTGCACCTGTAGTCCTGGCTATTTGGGAGGCTGAGGCAGGAGGATCACTTGAGCCCAGGAGTTTGAGGCTGCAGTGAGCTATGATTATGCCACTATATTCTAGCCTCATCAACAAGGAGAGAACCCTGTATCTAAAAAAAAAATTAAAAATTCATTTTGTAAATATCCAAAGTTGCTTATGAAGAATCTAAAAATGTTGACCACTCAGGTATTCTTGGATTTACAACTTTTGAAATATATTTTAAGAAATGTTATAGCAAGTAAAAATCATATGTAATTTCTAACCTAGCAAATTAACAAAGATAACTGGGGATGAAGAAATGGGTGGGGGTAGAGATGAAATAAGAATAGCTATTAATTGAAAATCATTTAAACTGGGTAAGGGTACATGTGGGTTCATTAAACTCTCTATTTTTATATATGTTTGCAGTTCTTCATAAGTCAAAAAAAGAAACATTTATGTAGTTCTAGCTAAAAAATTAATAATTATTCCTAATGTACATTTCAAGACATCTGTGGAAAAAATCCATATGGCCATGCTAAGAGTACAGAATATATGCACTGTTTTTATTTCCATATGTGGTAAATCTAGTAGACAAACTAGTAGTTCTATATGAAATAGTGATTAATGTGCAACAGTATTCATTATGACATTATTTGTAGTTGAGAAAGATTAGAAACCACTTCATTTCCTCACCTTAGGGGAATAGATAAATAAATTATGGCAAAACCACACAAGAGAATATTATGCAGTCAGTAAGAATTATAAATAACTTTAATGTCCTTGGAAAATACTAATGATACCATGTTAGTTTGGAACGTAGGACTTGAGATTTTATGTTCGCTAGGATCTAAACAATATATATAGGAAAAAAAAGAAAGGAAATATGTTAAATATTAATGGTGATTATCTCTAGGTAATATGATTATGGATGAGAATTTTTTTCCTTCCTTATTTTAATAATTTTCTATATAGGACATATAAGGCTTTTAATATTTGATAAAACAGATGTGTAGAAATTGTGATATTTTATTATCTGTATTCTCCTAGAATGCTCTTCTGCTGCCTTATAGATGATGCTGCCTTATTAATTATTGGTTCTCCAATGACTAAGTCTTCCTGAAGAGTCCAAGATGCACCCAATTTGTACCAAATACAGTTTTACTCAGAAAAATATTAGAGATAATTTCTTATCCACCAATGTCCAAGGTTTCCTTCTCATTTTCTGGATACCGACATGAGATAGGTAGGCAGTCTTTGGATTTTTACTTTGAACTGGAGACGCCAAAGTGGGGGGAAAGGGCATGTCTCAAATCATGCTTGGGATTTGGCAAAGTCATGACATGTAACCAATATGTTTGTACCCCCATAATTTCCTGAAATAAAAAAAAATAAAAATAAAGAAAAAAAAAAGAAATTTATGCAGTAATACCTAATTGAGTTTTAAAAACTGTTAACCAGAAGTTTAGTTGAAATGAAAAAGAGAGAAGTAAATTATATGTGTTCCCTGTGTTTCTTGAGAAGTTTTTAATAGTTCCAGACACATTTGTATACACTAATTTTGTGTTAGATTAAAAATATCCAAGGCCAGCTAGTTTATAAGTTTTTTTGTTCAGTTGGTTTTTAACGTCTCTAAGATCAGAGTACAGATGTAATCATCATAACCCTTACATTTGTTTAGATTTTACTAGATTGAGCATATTCTCATGTGTATCGTGCCTTATGTTTTCTTAACTATCATCCCATGATGTCAGATGACACATTTTTCCCTAGAGGCCTTATGTCAGTTCTGTCCCTTAATAATTACACCCTTTAGGACAAAGTCATTTTGTGAACCTTAGTTTTCCCGTCATTAAATTGGGAAGACATTCTGCTCTTTCCAAGTGCATAGACAGGGAGACAGTCGGGAGAGTAAATTAAAATGATAGGTGATACCTTGGTATAAGACTTCCTGAGTTTGTTCACCACTTTTTTTCTTGCTAATGGTATGACCTTGAGTAAGCTACTTCTTTCAGCTTCTGATTCCTTATCTCATGATACTACCTGACTTGTATAAAGTTTTGACAATATCTCTTTGCTTTTTTTAATCTCTTTTATTGACTGCTATAGTACCGGCACATAGTACCGGCACTTAATAGTGCCCAGTAAATATTTTTTGGATGAATCTCACCAGTATTTTGTGTTAACTTATCCAGATAGAGATTGTTGCTTTATTTATATTAAAATTTTAATATAACATTTATGAGATTTTTTTTAATACAGAGAATTTCAAATATGAAAATAAATCACAATTCTTCAATTTACTGCCCAGATAACCCTAGTAGACAAAAATAGATAAATAAAAATCATGTAAGTACATGACTAGAAATTTCAATCACTATAGAACATAGAAAGATAGAAATGACTGAAAGCCTCCCTCTCCTTCCTCCCTCCATCCCCCACCCCAGCTCTTCTCTGGAATCGATAACCCTTTCTTCCAAATCCTTCCATAAATTTTATGTTTTTACTTGCACCCTGTTGAAAATTTTGCATGAAAGTGGTCATGCTTTATATATTGTTCTGTACTATGCTTTGTACACTTAATAACAGAGTTGATCGGTGTCTTATAAGAAATATACATATATATCACCTTGATACAATATTTTAAAAACAAAATGCCTTTCTTAATTCTAAAAATTTGGCATTAGCTTCAGGTCCCCTCCACATAAATCATGAATGTGTTAGTCACAGCTGGGTCTATCTCAGCCTAAGGTGCAATAAATGATCTCATTCTATTTTGATGAGAAATTAATGTCCCCATTTTTAGCACCATGTACTATAACCACTACACATCCTGTTGGAGGGGAATGGCCTGCATCCTAGTTCCCATTCAGACTCCGATCCCCCTTGTCTTTAGATTGTGGCACGGATTAAGGGTTTATCCCCTCTTTCAGCACTGATCTTGAGGCAACTATATCTGGTGGGTGGTGTCAGGAGATCTGAGACTGAAATGACTCTCTGGTATCATCAGTCAATCACACTTAGCAGTGGTAACTTAAGGGTTTTGACTCAGTCTTCAGGGATGAACCAGAGCTGGTCTGGACTTTCTGGGGCTGATGATACAACTGGCTGATGATAACTTAAGATCAAGCATTTCAGTTAGAAACTGATCACTTTGGAAATTCAGCTGAGTTCAGTAACCATTGATTTATTGAGTGTAGGCTAGTAAATGAAGAGTAAAGAGCCATGTGTGCGCTGATCTTGTTGGGCTGTTCTCAGAAGTATCTTTATGGCATTTGTTAATTTTGTTATGACCCTAACAAACACTCCACATGTGAAGTTATCTGACACCATGATAGCAGCTTTTTGGGGGAGAAGGGGAGAAGGAAATTTCAGAAAACTCAACACAGAGAAATTATTTTTTAAAGCCACTCTTTAGTTAATATAAAGAGCAAATCTGGATTTCCATCAAAGTTGTGGCTGAAGGCTCTTCCAAGAAGTAGCAATAATATACAAAATGACTGAAATATGTGAAAATAATCTCCTTTCAGCCTACTGATGCTTTTTACTACTGGCAAGAGGTCAATTTTTTCCCCCTATAATGTGTGTACATACTGTTAGCTCTAACACTGATTGCTAAGTGGTTAACAATAAATTGATTTCAGTTTAACTAAGGGCACTTCAGGAAAGCAATGGTCTGCATGAGAAAAATGTTCATTACATTTAATCCTAGACACACACATAAATTAGCAGCAAGCTTTTCCTCCTGATGTCAAATGAATCACACATATTGGAAAAAGACCTATTCCTTGCTGCATTGTATATACTAAAGCCAAGGTAGATATCCATTCTCAAACTTTAGTGTGACCTTGCAGAATTAATCCTTCATAAGAAAACAAACCTTACCCTAAGGAAGAGTATGAGTTAGGTAATTTAGAACTGATGAAAGATATTTCCAAATGGATTCTTAAATTTTTATACCATTCATTAATAGCTTTGTCTTCCCTCTGTGCTTGTTAATTTTATGTTTGAGACATATGTCTTCACTTAAGCAGTTGATTCTCTACAGGGTCCAGTTATGTGTGTGTTGGTAACCATCACCTTCACCTTTTAAACTGCTTTATTGCATGGAAAGTTTTTAAAAGATTCAGTAGTTGTGCTTTTCTAACAGCATTTCCTATCTAGGTTGCTGAATATTATAATTTTATGCTTATATTTATTGGGTTTATTATTTTAGGCACATCATATCATATCTGTATGATGGGATGGTCATATATAAAATTTATCAGCATACAACTTTTCCCATAAGTGTTAGAATCTGGAATTTATCCTTTTGTTTCAATATAGTACTGGTTATCAAATCGAATGCTTAAACTCTGAATCAGTTAATTTCCAATCGCAAAGGGACTGATTTAACCTAAGGGCATATCAGCCCAAGATGAAAAAAGGTGCTTACAAAACATGTGAGTAGCTAGTTCTTTCAAGATGTTTAGAGGGTTTTATGAGGCAAAGAAAAAAACTGTCATATCTAGAGACCAAAAATGCTCGATACTTGTATTTTTCAGTATATTAGAGTGAAAGGGAAATTATTTCCTTGAAGTAACCCGAGTGAAGGTGAGACTCTTAGCTGAAGGTCTAAATGGTTGACACACTTCTGTGGTGCTTTTTGGATTTGCTAAGTAGAAGAACTTTAGCCCATTGTCTCCTGTGTCTCTCAGGTAGGCTGTGAATAGTGATTTCTTTCTGCAGAGGCTGTGTGCGCATAACAGACATTTCATGGGGCCCAGGCGTCCTTACAGAGTAAGACTAGTATACCTTGTGATTTAAATAAAGGAGCTGCATTAGCTAAACTGATGGTAGATTTCTTTTTTTTAAAAAAATTGTTATTATTAATCTCCAGATTTTGTCTGCGCCGCCGATCTCTCTTCTCTATCCTCCTCTGTCTCAGCTTTGCAGCTCCTCTTGGTGGAGGACTCCTCTGATGTGTCTCTCCATGGTCCATATCCGAACAATTGTTCCCCACTGTCCTCAGTCCAACCCTCTACTCTTCTGCCAGCACGGTCAGATAAGCTGTGTCTCTAAACCCTAAGGCATGAAACTATAAGAATTCTAGAAGAAAATGTTGGAAAAACTCTTGTAGATGATGGCCTAGGGAAAGAATTTATGAAGAAGACCCCAAAAGCAATCACAGTGATAACAAAAATAAATAAATAAGACCTGATCGAATTAAAAAGTTTCTGCACAGCCAAGGACACAATCAATAGAGCAAATAGACAATCTACAGAATAAGAGAAAATATTTGCATGCTATACATTGATAAGGGGCCAATAATCAGAATCTACAAAGAACTCAAGCAAATCAGCAAGAAAAAATTAAACAACACCATTAAAAAGTGGGCAAAAGACAGGAACAGAAACTTTTCAAATGGAGATAGACTAACGGCCAATAAACACATGAAAAACGCTCTATGTCTTTAATCATCAGGGAAATGCAAATGAAAACCACAATGAGGTATCACTTATCTCCAGTGAGAATGGCTTTTATCAAAAAGTCCCAAAACAACAGATGCTGACATGGAAGCGGAGAGAAAGGAACACTTATACACTGTTGGTGGAACTACATACTAACACAACTTCTATGGAAAGTAGTATGAAGATACCTCAAAGAACTAAAAGTATTTCTATCATTTGATCCAGCAATCCCACTACTAGGTATTTACTCCAGGGAAAAAAAGACATTTTATAAAAAAGACACGTGGACTCAAATGTTTATAGCAGTACAATTCACAATTGCAAAGATATGGAAACAACCCAAGTGCTCATCAATCCATGAGTGGATTAATAAAATGTGGTATATGTATACCATGGAGTACTACTCAGCCATAAAAAAATGGTGATCTAATATGTTTTGTAACAACCTGGATGGAAATGGAGACCATTCTTCTAATTGAAGTATCGCAAGAATGGAAAAACAAACGCCACATGTACCCAGTACTAAATTGGGACTAGTTGATCGACACTTATGTGCATATATGGAAATAAAACACAATGGAAATTAAGTAGGTGGGAGTGGGGAGTAGGGGATGGGTAAATTCACACCTAACGGTACAATACGCACTATCTGGGTGAAGGGCACACTTATAACGTTGACTTAAACTGTACAAAAGCAAATTATGTAGCCAAAACCTGCATAATATTCTGAAATTTAAAAAATTATTATTATTATTATTTTTTAATTTTTTGTAGAGATGAGGTCTCGCGATGTTGCTCTGACTGGTCTCGAATTCTTGGCCTCCCACCTCGGCCTTCCAAAGTGCTAGGATTACAGGCGTGAGCCACCACGCACAGCCTAAAAAATTATTTTGATTTGCTTTTAAATAGTTGTGAGCCTCTCATTCTTACACATTTGAATAAATCTTTTTTTAAAGAAATTTTTAAGGGAATGATGATAAACATAAAAAGTTGACTGATATACCCTTTTAAATTTGTGTGTAAGAGGGATTTCTTGAATTTTATTGAAACCAAATAGAATTATTTCCTACTTAAGAAATTGTATTAACAGAAGCTAAAAATGTTTTAAGAAATACCTTTTACACTGGCTTGATATGAGAATCCAGTCATATTGAAACAACTGTCTGAAAGTCTGTAGTGTTCCATTTAAATATAACACTTTCCAGTTTATCCACGTAACCAAAAACACTTGAAGCCCCTAAATTAAAAGGAAAGAAAAGAAAAGAAAAGAGAAGAACACTTTCAGATTCCCCTCATCCTTTTAACAATATCTCTAAATTTCTTTGAATGGCTAATGAATGCATCAAAACAACAGTTTCCAGGGATTTAAAAACAAAATCTGATGGATTTTGTTAATGTTTATTTACAGCTGCCTATTCTTTCAAATGTGTTTTATAATTTGATTTTAGAATATTCAATATGTGTCAGTGAAAATTCTTGACTAATATTTTAGAAGATTTTATGTAATCTGTCAGAAGAGGGAGTTTTGAACCTTGATTTAATAGCGTAGTCCACTAGTGTCTTCTGTCTATTTAAAAGATTTTCATTGCTAAGGTGTTCTCTCCCTTTTGACCTTTTCCTAGGACATTGTTATTTAGGTAGTAGTAGAAAACTGAACCCTTTTCTTCTAGATGCACTTCTTGAGATCTCTGTAACCTTGAGATAAAGGAAGAAATCTCATATTTGGTGAAGTGGCACAAGTTCATCTAGGCACAAAGGAGTAAAAAACTTTTTGATTACATTTCAGTTTCTAGAAAGTTAGGTTCTTCACTTTCTTGGGTACTTCTGAGACCTTCTACTGAAAGATGTGTCAAATGTCAAATGTCTCAAGAAAATACTTTTCACAGACTTGAAAAAAGGTCGAAGAGCTATCCTTAATTGACCATTATAAAAGAAATTATAGGCATTTATCTCGCTGCCATTATCGGTTGTGAGTCATCTAAGGACCATGAAAACCAAAACAATTGGAAGTTGAAGTCCACCTTCTTAATTACTCTTGCATTGTTGAGATGTGGAGGGGTAGTTCTACTGTGGAATATTATCATTATTATCACATTTGCTCCATTCCTTTTTGTTACTCCCGTTTTTTTTTTTTTTCTTTTAGGAATTTCTAGATTAGGGTAGGGGAGGTAAAAGTACTAGTTCGTGTCTTTCTTGTTTGCTTGTTTGAGAATTAGTGCATAAAATAGCTTTTAGAATGCAGGTTAATATTAAACTTCTGCTAATTTCAGAAATGAATAACCCTTCTTTTTACCTCAGCCCAGAGAGCATGGGACTTCTCGACCCAGCGACCAGTGATGGGCGAGTTATTTTCTTCTTACCCTGGCAAAAGATGACTATCGCTGGCACTACTGATACCCCAACTGATATTACACACCATCCCATTCCTTCAGAAGAAGATATCAACTTCATTTTGAATGAAGTGCGTAATTACCTGAGTTCTGATGTTGAAGGTAACTGAAGCATTCCTTTAAGCTTGCCCTCCTCTTTCGTATCTCTCAAATCCTTCCAGCGCTCACTGGGTAACTGCCCTGTCTCCAGTCTGACTCATTTTCACATGTGGTCTATTGTAACTATTACTTGCTGCCGCTACCTTTAGAAGTTTTATAAGGGCCGAACTCTAACACGGTGGAGAAAAATTGCCTTTTCTCCTCTACTTTCCACATGCACATGAAACTCATGCAGTTCTTTTCTGATCATTTCTAATGGCAAGATCAGAGTACCACACTCATCCACTTCCAGAATAGGATGAAATGTTTATATCACTGTTTAATTTCTACAGCTTGGGAAGGTCTGGTTTACAGATACAAGATATCCATAAGAAATAATTAAGCAAAGAAACAAAAGGCTGGAGCTATGTATTCTAAGATGCTTAATGATCTGTTACTACATGTAGAGCGTTGACTGGTAGATTTAGCAAAGGAGGATACGTATGCTTGTTTTAATGGAAAAAGCCACAGTTAACTTCTTTCTTATTCTTACCAAGGCATTTTTTTAGCTTGGATGGTGCAACATTTTCTCCACATAACTTACGTAGTGGTTTGGTTTTTTTGCCATCCAGGCTAGCCCTAGAAGTTCCCCAACATGCCACTTCTGTATTTCCTATCTCAGTTAATAATCTGCCATCCACCTAGTCACCCAGGCAGGAAATGGCATGCTTATCTTTGGCGGTTCTTTCTCTTTTCACAGCTCAGGTCTCCATCCCTACCCAGTCTCATCCTTCCATCAGAACTTGCTTTCTGAAGCACAGCTCTGATCATCCCTTCCCTGAACAAAAATACCCCTTAGATGTTTCCTCCTCGACTTTAGGAAAAATTCTAAACTCTCTCCCGTAGAATATAAGGCTTTTCACAGCTTGTATTTGCACATTTATATTCAACTGCTCCCCTTCCTGCATTCTGTGGTCTAATCGTATTGTATTACTTATCATTTCCAAGGCAGGTCATGCACTTCTAAACCTCCATGCCTTGTTTAGGTTGAAGCCTTGCTCTGGGATGCCTTTTCCCCCCAGCTTCTCATCTTGGCAAAATATTTATACTTCAGAAGCTGTCCTTTTTATTTCTATGGGATGTTGGTTATACTGCTTATATGTCACAACATTATATTATAGGTAATAGTCTAAGATGTATTCTCACTTGGAGCTCCTTGAGGGTAAGGATTCTTTATTTATATTTAGCAACAAAATTGTTGTCTAACTGGTATGCTACTCATGACTGTTTTGAACTTAAATGAGTTAGTTATAGACACTTTCAGGGTTTTTGATACTG